TTACTTATATTTAAGCAAGTTCAAATTTTCAAAGTATAAATATAAAGAAGTTGATACGAAAGATGATTGGGATCATAAAAATGATAGCTTTTAAAATGCGAATTTCAGCGTCATATGTTGTTAGCTATTAACAAATGCTTCATTCCATATTATCTGTACAACTTAAATTACACATTTGATTTCTTTTTAAGTTCAGTATTTGTTTGCTAATAATTATTTTTACAAATATTTTGCAAACAATGTGTGTTTCTTATCTTCAACCGTATTTTTTTTTTTTGTTTGTTATTATTTCACTGTCATAATAATATTGGACATTGATTGAAATTCAAATGCCAACTTCCTCATTGATAAACATTTGTGATGTTAGATTATTTCATAGATTATTTCATTTAGTATTCATTTCATTCCAATTTCACTGACAACTTTTCATTTTCTATTTGAAATTATTTTGTCTTATGAAATTAGAATGTTTAAATAAATCTATTTGAAAAAGAAATAAGTTAAGAAATTAGTGAGTGAGAAAAATACAAAATGTATGATAACTGATCAAATGTATACATTCATTTATTGGTTTTAATAAATGAATGAATAAACATGAAATGTGATAAAGTGATCAAATTAGAATGATTAGTTTCTGTTAACCTGATTAGTTTCTGTCTTTTTACTTCTAATTTTTTTCCTGCTATTATCAATTTAATCTTAATTGTAGATGTGTATGCGTAATATTTGTAATGAATATCTTATAATCTTTTTTTTTTCCAAATTTTAAAAAATCCTATGAAAATTCATTTATACTATTTATTGTATAAACTATAACATTATCAAATATGTTTAATTTTGTTGGAAAAATTTCAGTTTACATTTGTAAATTACTATATTCTAATTTGAATATTCAATGTTAAAAGCACAGAGATGATGAAAATCGTCATTTGTTGTGTGTACACTTTTGAACTTGTTTATCACCTGAACTAAGTCATTCATTTTTGCAGCAACTGCCCAAAACTACGTAATATTGTTGTGTCCAAAATTTCAATCCATTATTTACGAGCAATAGAACTGGAAGAGGAAAGGATTAAGAAATTAGAAATTGGCAAAGAGAGAGAGAGAGAGAGAGAGAGAGAGAGATGATTATAGTGGTTTAGCTAAGTACTTCTCTACTACTACTTTTTTTTCCATTTTTCATCTTCATTTTAAATTTCTATCATTTTTTTTTTTCTTTTCGTTTTGTATATATGTTCATGAAGTGTTGTAGTAGACAAATCTGATAACAATGTTTCTCTAATTACATTAATATCCTTTATATAATATAAATTAATTGACTTAAAAAAAAAAATGATTTCAAACTTGATTTCAAGCAAAAATTATGTTTTTTTGAATTAGTTATTTTGATAAAATTTCGGCTTTTTTTTTTTCTGTGTATTTATTCTAAAATTTGGTTAAAATGAGGAATGAAAGAAATAATTACATATATTTGTTATTTTTTGGTAATTGAAATTTTTCTTTTTTTTTTGTTTTGCAAAAGAAAATTTTATTTTCCATATATTTTTCTTTCAACTTTAGTATTATTAGATATTTTTAGGACTGATTCACTCTTGAAAATTTAAATTTGCAACAAAAATCGTAAGTGAGGTTGAAAATTCGAGTGATAGACAATGTTTATGCTTTCAAGAATGACAACGGAACATTTCAATTTAACATTGATTACTGTCAGAGAGCGGAAGCTAGTTTTATCTTTCTTATCATTAGATGATGTTAATTAAGTGATAAAATGAAACCTGATAAATTTAATCAAATATTTCGCCTTTTTTTTTTTCACCTGTATGTATTTATTCCTTAAATAGTTTATAATAAAAAAAATTTTTTGTTATGATATTTAAACTGATGGGGTCACACGATCGACGACCTTTAGCATTTCTCATCTGCTTATAATTGACTTTTCACATGATAAATGTAAAATTTCAGTGAGAAGTTAGGAGAAATTTTGTCGATGTTATTTGTAATTTTTTCTGCAAAGTACAAAGATTAAAAGTCGTTCTATACTTTGAAATATTTATTAATTTTTCAATTCATCATTAAATCATATTTAAGTTTTAATCGTGAACAGTTTTTACTGGGATGATTATTGATTGAAGGATAATTTCGAGAATTGATCATTTTATGAACAATGTATTAAAAAATTATTAAATTGTTCCAATAAAATACCTTTCATGTCACTTTTTTTTTTTTTAATTTTATGTCTGCTTAATGGTCAAATTCATAGTATCATGATATTTGCTTAGATTACATGCATGCTGTGCAAGCTACGCGCCATTTTGTCGTGCCCTGCCATACTTGCTTTTCCTTTCCTTTTTTTTTCCTGTTTTCTAAGATTTATAATTTCAAATAAATCATTTCGATAATGATTTTTGTTTACGCGCAATTTGTTGCACTGCATTTTTTTTTTTGTTAATCTTTCTTTCTAGAAATTGGTATTGAAATAACTTTTTTATTTTATGTCCATTACTTTACTTATATTTATTTTACTGTATAATCAAATAAGTAATATATCACTGTCATACTTCAATTTATTTGAATATTGCATGCGGAAGTTAGAATGCAGTTTTCTCTCATATCGTTAATATATTCACAGTCACTAAAATGCTATTAGTCATAAGCTGTAAATGTTGAAAATAAAATATGATCAATATGTGGTAACTAATGACAAAATTTGAAGGTGGAATGATAAATGTTCTAATATTATCACTGTAATATGATTTCTTTGTGTGTAAATGTTTGTTTTCTATTTCGGTTTAGTTTTCCTAATCATTTGAAGTTAGAAAAAAGCGATCAAAAACGATACCTTATAAGCGTATATTTTATAAATGAATTAAAACTATTCATAAAATAAAAGGTAATACTTAATCGTAGTTTAAAAAAAAAAAAACCTTTATAAAAATTATTTCAGGATACAAGAGTTGCAACGGATTAAATTTTGGCAAATTTCGAGTTAAAGAAATAATCTTAGTAAAATCAAACAAATTGCACAAATTTTACATTTAACTAATAATTAAATGTAGTCGATGTTCTTTCCAGTTATTTATATCTATATGATCAATATGATGCCACTGATAACATTTATGAAGTGGAATTTATCAACTATTTGTCAACTATTGAAGTGACCAACAACTGATTTATTGATTGATTATTGATATTACTGAATGAAGTGTTTTTTTTTTTTTTTTTAAAGATAACTTGAATATTTATTAAAGTATTGCCATATATTTGAAAAACGGTTGCAGTTCGATTATAGCCAAGTCTGGCTTGTATATCCTGATTAATTGCTGTTTAGTTCAAATCTGTTATCTTAATTCTGAAATTATCTTAATCTCAGCACATTTTGCGTGGACTGAACAGTCATTCGTTTGCTTCCTGTTGAATATCATTTCATAAGATTATTAAATTGCGATTTGTCGAGAAAATTGAATTTTAGTTTTCTTTCTTTTTCTTTTTAATTACATCTCGTTACAGTAAATAGATATGTTTTTAAGTGTAAGATGTTACTTAACGATATATTTTTTTACTGAATGTAAATAATATTACCTACAAGTAGTTCATCCTATTTGCAAAACCATTGTCACCAAAGTTTGATTTGTTCTGTGAATTCCAAACAACTTGACATTCTAATCCATCACTTTCATTTTTTCTTATTTTTCAATATCCTGTTTTACAAATACCATTCGTTATTTTCTGATTCAGTTTGACATTTCTTATCTTTTTACTTTGTAGATATGACTCAAGATTAGAGATTTCTCGACAAGATTTAAGTTTATCCAGATATTAGCTATATGAAATAACATAAAATTATAGGGATAGCAAGAATCTGTCAATGACCAACTTATAGTATTAGTAATTTGAAATATTCGATAATGTATCTCGAAACGATGCAACAATCAAAAATTGTTATTCGAGATAGAATAGAATGATTTATACGATAAAGATGAACCAAATAGTAAGGCCATTTTGAGCATATTATGACGAATTCCCTTGAGTGCCCTTCTCAGTTTGTAAAATATTAGTGTCAAACTACGATAGGGTACACTCATCTACTACTACATATTTAGTAGTGTTAGGAATAGGAGAGATCACTGATGTTAATCAATATTTTAATCATCAATAAATAATTTCTCATATCTTTACGAAACATATCTAAAATGTAAGAAATATTTTATCATCTAATTCCTATACTTAAAGCTGTACACAGAATATCACCAACCAAGTAAACATCACAGAAAGAATCTTATAATAATATAATGGTACTCAGTCATAGATTTTCACTATTATATAAGGAATTTTATTACAGATTCTGAAAAATTCCCAAATTTTTCTAATGTTAATTCATTTACAATTATTATTTTCAATGCATCGAAATGTGTAACTATTTCATACTGATAGTATGATTATCTGTTAATGAATCAATGAATGTAGTTGCTCCTCTGTGATAAATTTGTCACAGTCATAATCGAAAACGGATATTTATCCGGACAAGCAAATGAAATCCGGAATAGTTCTTTGGCTGCAAATAAATTATTATTCCCATAGAAATCAATAGAATTTGAAAAAGTTGTAATCATAAATTGATGATTGATGAGATTATTAAAATAGCATAATATTTTAGAGCATTTCAGTAGTTATTAAAAGCGAAAAAAAGATAGCATAGTGATTGAGGAGTTGATAGAGAATGATTGGATGTGCGAAGTGGTTTAGGTTTGGTCAATTATCAGTTGGGTTTGGGATACACTTTGCTAAGACTTTTTATAGATCATGGATTGAAAGGGTGTACTTCGTGCTTCTTCTATAATTTCTAGTTTGTGGGGTTGGAAATTAGTAATTTAAATTTAACTAATTTAGCGTCAAATTTATAACGTTTGTGTTTGCAGTTGTATTTTTCATTGTCGATTGTGTGTTGGAATTCACTTTAATATTTTTTCCGGTTTTCTTTTTTCCATCGTTTTTCAGGCATTATGCCTAGCAAGACGAATGGTGCATCAAATGGAACGGCTGAACGTTCGTTTGTCAACTTTGATCCGGAAGATCCGGAATATATCAAAGAATTGCAAAGGCCAGCAGCCATTAAGGTTGCCTTTTTTCGTAACATTAATAATATGGGATGACTTACCGTTTATTTAAAATTAGCAGCATTTTAATAGTCGAATTTGTTGTGTGCCCTTAATAGAACTTAAATTTGATGAACCTATTTCTGTTGTTTCTGTGTATGGTATATTTATAGTGTATTTTCATCTCTTTGGGAGCTTATAGTAGGTTAGCACTGTTTGCTTAAGCAATATGGAAATTGCTTACAGGAAGATTTATCCGAGATGGAAAGGCGAAAACGGGTGCAGGAAGTGTTGGAGTCGAAAAATTTTTGCAGAGAATTAGAGGAATTAATCAAGCAGGAAAGTGAAAGCCACAAAAGTGATCCGGATCACTTAAAAACTTTGCAGCGACTTTCTGAACTTACTCTTCCTCATGGCCAAATTGCAACATCCAGTCTTCATAACATTGGTAAGTCCCTGATATCGTAATCTTTTTCGTTGTAGCAAACGAAAAGAATGTTATAAAAAGAGCGGCACTCTGTTCGTGACAGGATTATGAAGCTTGTATTATTAAGACCTAATTCTATGGTAATGATGGAATTTTTCTTCTGTTTCATTTCATTTTCATAGCATCCACATTGTTTCGTTGTATAAAATGATCATTTTCTAAGGAGTTGGAGCTGTGTTACCTATTGCCGATCTCAAAGGAAGTGGTAGTTACACGCGGGCTGAAAAAATGTTCAGGAACAAATTAGCTTCACTGTATCGCCTAGTGGATCTTTTCCAATGGTCGCAGGGAATTTACAACCATATCACGGTAAGGATCATTGTTTTTCATTCTTTTTGGTATTTAAGACACAACTTAAGCATACTAGAGGTGGTGTTTGTGTGATTGGGTTTTGTGAAATTCCAGCATATATTCATAAATGATTTAACCTTTGTAGAATAGTTCTCAGATTATATTGAGTACCTTACTCATTATTGTCTTTACCAAAGTTTACTTTTTAATACCTAATAACGTGCACTGTATAACGGCATATTGGAATATGCATAGAAAGACATTGGCATTACACTAATGTTTTCATGAATATTTCCCACGGTTTTCAGTTAAAATTACCAGATTCAGACGAGCTACTGATTAACCCCTTCGGATTGTTATACCATGAAATTACGGCCAGTTCGCTGATAAAAATCAATCTTAATGGTGAAATCATTGATCGTGGTTCCACTAAATTAGGAATTAATCAAGTAAATATCCTCGTAATTGTCTTTATTCTTTTTTCACTGTTACAATTTCAGTTATTAGTCATTTTATCGGGACTTATTGAGACTGACAAGTAACTAATTTTTGTCAGGCAGGTTATGTTTTGCATGCAGCAATTCACAAAGCACGTCCCGACGTGAGATGCGTGTTGCACATGCATACTGCTGTCGTATCTGCAATTTCATCAATGAAATGTGGTCTTCTGCCACTCTCTCAGGAAGCAATGATCATTGGTCCTGTAGGCTATCATGACTACCAGGTATGCTTTTGTTTTATATTTGTTCTGGATGAATTCGAATGAGAATTTATTTCTACTTAAAAATTTTTGGGAAAGAAACAACCATATATATGTCTATTTTGTAACTGCTGCTTAGAGCTTATTTTCCAAAAATAATAGGATTTCAGGGTATATTGGATGATGAATCCGAAATGGAATCAATCGTCAAAGATCTCGGCGACAAAAATGTGAGTTCTGCAAATTTATGTTATTTTTGCTTCTGGTAAAACAGGAATAAATGCGAAATATTGGTTTAAAATCGTTCAGTCTTTGGGGCATCATTATGGATACCATGAAAACCCTCTCAAGCCGAATACAACCCTCGGAGACCTTCTGCTTTAAGCAAGTCTTTTTCACTTAAGTCTCAATTTGCAAAAATTACGCAGATGGAAACGAATCGTTAATCACTTTGCTGGATGTTAACCATGCGTGACAGCGTGTGAAGTTTGATTTTTTGTCTTTTCATCGAGTCACTCAAATATGTTAATAGTAAAAGATAATCTTTACTATCTCATTACATTTGGGTTATAGATTTATATGAGTTTAAATTAAATCGGATGAAATTTTAAATCAAGTCTCTTATACCCAAGATAGTTTTATAGCTTTAATGCATGTTGTGCATTTTTCTTTTTTTGGAGAGTTATTTAAATGGTAGTTTTCTCTGTTTTTTCAGTCCGAATGAAATGCTTGCTTATTTATGTATAAGATGTTTGGCGAGAAGTTTTAGGTGATGTTATTACGAAGTCACGGATTTGTAGCATGTGGTGAATCTGTTGAGGATGCCCTACATCTTGCTTTCAATACGGTTATCGCATGCGAAACTCAGGCACGCTTGGCTTTTTTTTACGAGAGTGCCATTGGTGGTGTAGTCATTTGAAGCACTAATTCATTTTTTTAGAACGAAATTATTTATTGCTTTCAGTAGTACTAGTGTCGAAACTAATAATTATTCCATAATTCCCAGAGTTCTTCATTCTAAAATTGGCATACAGGAAATAAATCTTGAAACAGATTTTTTTTTTCAGAATTCGTAATACCAATAACTTCTGTCTATACATATAGTGAAGTGTGTTTGCAGACCACATGGGAAAGCTTATGAACGAGCTAGTCTTAAAAACATTGAGTATAAACATCAAAATGCATGCCATGTTTGCGTGCTGTGGTTCTTTGCTGTGCTTATTGTATTTTATCACTGTTTTGTCATAATTGCTGCGATTTGCCTTTAACTGAATTTTGAGGAAGTTACTAGCTGTTGGGCGAGATATGGAAATTTTTCTTTTGACCATTGGCGATTCCAATGTTATACGGATTTTATCACTTTATTGTTGTTTGATGCGAGGGATTTTCCAATACTTTTTTTAAAAAAGTATTATTGCTTGGTATTGTTGCATTCGTCAGTAACAGTAGCATATTAAGATATTTTGTCAATTTGATAGTGCATGTCTTTTTGTATTGGCAGTACTTTTGGATTATATGTTTTAAACTTGGGTATAAGTCTGTATTTTTCATTGTTTATAATGCATCATTATTACTTTTCATTTTTGCTCGTCTTATTCGATTAATCTTATAAAGTTAGAATGATATATAAGCGTATTGTATGTATATGTGGGAACATTCATGCTTACAGAATCAATTAAATTTGTTATGTCATTAATTATGAGTTTTTCAATCATCGAGATTTCAAAAATTCGTGCTGTGCGGATTCCGCAGTGATGCACTTCAGGTTTTTATACTACGTACGAATGGGTATTTGGTGTGTTGCGAAACGGTAGAAGAAGCAGTATATGTAATAAGAAACTTGGTTACAGCTTGCGATCATCAGGTCCAAACAATTTCTTATCAGATGGTTAGGGTGATAAATCGTCATATCAGTAGATAGGGGGCTGATGTTGAGTTTTTGAAATATCTGAAATTCTTGATTATTTGTTTGTGAGATTTTATGATTGCTATTTTTATTGTCTTGCTGAGATTCCCAAATTTAATTAAGATTTGCGTAAATTTAATTTGAGTTCACTGCTTTTGCTAGTAAACATTGTATGACACCTTACTTCCTAGTTACAATATTTCTGTGTTTATTTCATTGTTTCTTCACTTTTTTTTTTCAATTTGTTTAGCTATTTAGCTTTGATGTTTATTTATTTTTAAATCCTATGTGGTTTGCTTACACGGTTTGCTTACACTAGGGCTAATTAATTTTGATGTAAGAAATTTTATGACTTGTCGAAATTCCATTTTAGATCAGAGCTGCAAGGGCTGGCATTGAAAACCTCGTTATACCTAATGAAAAAGCTGTTGAAAGAGTATACAAAACAGCACGAAAAGGCGGTAATTTATTTTTATGTACTTTGTTCTTCGATTCCTTAAATTTAATGTCAAGAAGCTTACACAGTTATGTTCAGGAGGTGGTGTCGATCGCAATGGTGCAAAAGATGCGGAGGGGAAGCAAATTAATTGGAGGATCGGTGAGTTGGAGTGGGAAGCATGGATGCGTGTACTTGATAATGCGGTAAGTATTTTCTGCTATGTTAGAGTTATGGTGGGAGAAATTTTCATGTTTTCGTTATCGTTGTCACAACCCAAAAGCTTTTAGAGACTTTGAAAGCATTTCTTTTATTCACACTACTGCTTTCAGGGCTACCGAACGGGTCATATTTATCGACAACCTCTTTTTCGATCGAGAGCACTTCCTTCATCAACAAATAATCAAAATGATGTTGCTGTTCCACCTAGTGCCTCGTCAATTGGCACCGTAAGATGGAATCCTTTTTTAAATTATTTTAACTTATAGTAAAATTTCCCCAGATGCTCTCCATTTATGTTACAGCGGTTGTTTTGATTGATGTCATACTTGTTCATATCTCTCCTTGCGGGTTTATGGATGTATAATTTGACTCGTACATAGCCTTAATTTTTTTTTTCGATGGTCGAAATAATTATTACATGCTCCTTTACTTTTATAGCCTAGACTCCATAATGATTTTTTCGAAATTGTCTCATTGGAATGTGTTCTGTTGAGGTGGATGAAACTGATTATGAGTCAGTGACAGCGCATAAGATGGCGCTGTTGCGCAAGGAACAGGAACGGTCTCGGTGGCTCAATTCACCGAATGCATATCAGAAAATCGAAATCTTGGAAACAGGGACCAATAATCCGAAACGGATTACGAAGGTATTATTTTTCGATTTTTTTTTTTTTTTTTTTTTTTTTTGAATTTCTTTTTCTGTTGCCTGTACTTGTTTCTGGATTTGTTCGAATAAATGATTCAAACTATTTGGTTATTGTGGCTAAACTTTGATGTGGTACTGAATTATTTATGCAGAAAACCGTTACGTGGTGTGCAACATCCTTCTTAATTTTTCTCTTTCTTTATTTGGCATATTTTCATGTTTTACATTTCAATTAAATTAAAAAAAGTTCGAAATAAACTTCCTTTCAGTGGGTGCAGGATGTTAGTTCACCATCTCAAAGTGGAACCCCAGTGAAAATTTCTTCGCCGCACCAATTCAGTCCTTTCTCTTCAAATCCAAAGGAATTTAAAGAAAAGCAAAAAGCAATAAAAGAAAATCGTCGATTGGGAACAACTTCAGCAGGTCCACAATCGCAAATTTTGGATGGAGTTACATATGAAGAGATTGCGCAAATACGGGCGGTATGTTTTTCATGACTTTTAAAATTATTTTAAAACCTATCATTTTGCAAAAATCCAATCTATGTGAAACTACCATCCCAATTTTTCGGATATCGTGATGAATTTTTTAAGTGTTTTGAGGCAATTTGTACTAAGTAGATTGTCTTATAATTTAGGATGCAGAAACCAGTGATATGGGTCAGGCTGATCGCGTAGTTATGATCGGTACTGCTAGCAAAGGTATAATTGATCGGCAACATCAACACAATGCTCAAGTATATTTTTTAAATCCAAAATTTGAGACTTATTGCAGCTGACGATAGTAAGATTAGGTGAAATTATATTTTAGAAACTGTAGGTTTATCAGATGTATGTCCGACGGTCAATGTGAATCCGAATTATCTGCATGCATTCATTCTTTTTTAACGGATTCATAGTACTGAAATGATCTGGAAAGCTTACTTTAACTTTCGTGGAATTTGAACTCTTCATTTATTATTTTTGCAGGTTTATCGGCAGCTTTACGCACCGAATCCATTCGCAAGTGAAACGGATGAAGATATTCAAAAGTATATGAAGGAAGTTGAGGCAAAAACTCCAAGACCAAGTTCTGCTGCCGATAGTACTGAACATACGACATCAAGCCCACCTTTATATGAAAACGATAGTCCTTCTGTCGGTAGGGTTTATTTTTTATGTTTGTATTTGATATATATATGTTATCTATTTCAATTTGGCATGCTTTATCTGATCAAAAAAAAAAAAAAAAAGCTTGCTGTTTATTACCTAACAAACGTTATGATTAGATATATGATCTAATTTTGGTTAGACATTCAACTGTGATATTATCTACATTATTTCATTTTAACAAGTTAATCTTTTTACTCCTTGTTATTTCTAATCAAATATCGAGTCCAGTGGTTTTCGTCTTAATAATCTGCTCTTCCAGAAACAATATCCTTGATGCAAGCAGCTCGAGAACACCGTACACGTCCCACATTTAGTGGTATGGCTTCCGCTTCAATTGATGAGGAGGGAGCTCCTACTGAAATATCTGTTGGTACTCATTCGTCACCCGTTGCGCAGCCTTCTACTGGTAGAGGTTAATCTTTGTTATGAGAATTGAGTCATGCATGTTTTATACATTGTGCTTTGGACGCATGACTGCATACTGTGTGCTTTTTTCTGAGAACAGTGCAGTGAAGATCATATCTTTTCATATAAATTTTACTTTAGTAATGATATATCTTTTTTGCTATTTGTACTAGAGTATTACTGAATGATACAGAAATGGACGGAAGTCTTGTGATGGCTTCAAATTAATTGAAGTTATTAAATATTCTACATGATATTAGCCGGGTTACGTGTAATTTGCTATGGAGCTATTCGTTATGGAAAATTATAAATTTTGAAATTTTAGTGTCTTTTAGGGCGATAAATAGCTATACATTTTTGTATACCTTTACTATTTTTTGGAAATATTTGCCTCTTTACTAATACAGAAAGCGCGATTTGGTAATTTTTAATGAGGTTGCAGTTGGTCGCCTTACGTTGGAAACTACTTTCGATGAGTCTGATTTACCACAGAGTCGTTTTGTACGCAGTTCGCCTTTTGTATCTTCAACGCTACCTTATCGTCAGTGCTTGTTTCTTGCTTTTTTTTTCCCAGCATTTCTTGTGGTTTTTAAAAGTGTGGATAACGATAATCAGGAGTAGTGATGAGGAGTATTGGGTAACTATCATGTTCGGGAAGCTTTCATCATTTTTGGATATAAATTCCTTCATACTTAGCATAGTGATTTCAAAAATAAGTCAATATAATATTATGATTAATATACCAAATATGCCGTTTTGCGGATATCTTTTTTGTTCAAGTGATTTTTGAGGACAAGTTGAACATATATATGTTGTTGCATGAATATACACTTTGCATGATTTTCCTTCCCTCATGACTAGCGGAAATGCGGATTCGAAAGATGTAACGGTGTTAAAATTTTGATTTGACAGATTTTGAGACAAAGAGATGACTGGAATGACAAATTCCAAAGTGTTGTAATTTCCATCAAGATTCACTAAAATTGAAGAGGAGCATGCAAAAGGAAGTTGTTCGATCTAAACTATGTCTTAATATGAAAGGATTGAAGATCTGGAAACCGGTCTTAATCCTACGCTGCCTGTAGACATTATTTGTTTTGTGAGCGCATGGTTGTTTGTTTGTTTTTATTTTGGGTCGCTCGTCGCACGGTTATTCGCCTGATGGTGAAGCTATTCAGCTGGAGAGGCCAAAGACGTTACCATCAGGAGCAAAGTTCGCACGTAGTAAATCGGATCGTTTTGCTTCATTGCGTAAAAATTTGTTTTCTAAAAGTATGTTTTTTCCTCCAATTCTTTTCTTTTTCCTTTCTGGATGATCTACAGCATTGCACTCAAATGTATAACTTGTATGCAAACTAAGTACCATTATTTTATATCTAGTTGGTCGTTTTGTACACTTCCGACATGTATACACATATTTGCATGTCTTTTCTGAATTTTACATCACCTTTATTTTACCTGTGACCCTAAATGTGAATGATATTCCTTGAATTTTGAAATTACATGGGTATGCGTTATATAATCTACATATCACTGCAGCATAAAGCTGCTAATCAGCAAATATTGTTGGACTTTCAGGAAATGATACTGCAGTACGAAATTCAGAAATGGCACTGTCTGATGACGAGGTGAGGTGTTGTATTTTGAAAATTAAATAAATCGCATCATATTATGAATGCGGGACACTCAATGCTCATGAGAACAAATGTAGCACATTTTTCAGAGGCTATTAATTTCATCATTTATGGTAATTATATTAGCAAAATTTAGACCTCAAGCATACACTATATGATGTGTAAATTAATTTTAACAACATTATGTATCAAGTAAACAATAAGATATCATGATATATTAAGTCATTTTGCAGCTGAATCAATCGAAAGAGAGTAAAAAGAAGAAAAGGGGTTTATTCTCGTTCGGGAGGAAAAAGAAGTGATTTTTTAAAAAATGCTCTTGGATCTGCATTTCGTCTTTTACACTGGTATTGTTAATGCTCACTGCTTTATCACCTTTTATTCAATTTATGGGAGATTTAGTGGTGTTGGTTTCATTCTTCTCTTTTGCATATAAGCACATCCATTTGTTCGAAGCATCTTAAATATTGTTATCTGTTCCTTTCTCACTATCCTTTTCGCATTAATATTCCGCAGAACGGTATATGTTTTTAGAAAATTTATACTTAAAATTTTAAGTCTTATTTTGGGTTACTGCATAACTACCACACGTAATTAATGTTGCTGATAGTGAAGCTGAAAAAAGCACATAAATTGAAACTTTAAATAACAATCCTAGGTTTTGATATTGACTATATTGCAGGTTCTTTATTTGTTGTCTTTAAAAAAAGAAAAAAAAAACGTAATACAGTTTTATTTTCCAAATATCATATAATATTATATGGGAATGTTCGTTTTGCATTTTAGGCATATATCGTAGTGGTCATTGGTCTACAACTGTATGACTGTTCTTGGGAAATAAGTGGTCGTTTTTTTCTGGTTCAGTTGCGGAATGTGTCTCCATGTTTACGTTTAAAAGAGACTTTAAAAAAACCGCTTTTACATGTTTGCGGATAGGCAATCAGTATATAATGTTGATATCATTTCTGATAAATCTAACTTATTCTGTCCGCAACCAAAATTTCAAATGCTCTACTATGGAAGCATTGCGGAAGTTGCTTGTGTTTTGGCTGATTGTCTGTTCATTGTCTCTTCTATTTATTATCATCTCACCGCTTATTATTCAAAAAGATTAATTCTTCTTCTTTACATAGTTTCTTTTTTTTTTTTTTCTTAAGGCATTTACCCGTGTTTTATTGCTGCTTGGGAATGAATGCTTCTTGACCTGTGTCCAGGATTCCACTTTACTTGCAAAGGGTTTTTTTTTTCTGCTGTAATTGTCTTGTCATTTGCGGTTCATTTGGTTTTCTGTTAGTTTTTTTTCTTTTGTTCAAATTTTCGGGCTAATTTTTTTTGGACACCTAGAATTTGCCATCTTGTTTTAGTCAGAAAATATTGTATGGACACAATTAAGTTTGTGTAATTGATATTTGTTTCAACTGTTTATTAGCTTTATAATGGATTAGCTGCGATTTGTCGATCCATCATTCTTATCTAAATTCGTATTCACATGCTCGAAGAAAAAAAATAATCTCATCTAATCGACATGGTACAAAACAAATTTTGGAGAAATAGAGAAATCTGAAATGAGCCATATATTCCATTTGCGATCATTCCAGTATATATCGTTTTCGTTTCAGACCGGTGGATTTGTCTGTTTCTAATTTAATGCTGTCTCGGTGAAATTTGGATTTTAGTACTGTGTCAATTTTCAAACAGGAAGCGCTTCTGGAATATCAGTTTACTTTTCTTCTTTCTATTGCCAAATTTTATCATGATGCTATTTGTTTCATCCTTTTATCATGTCAGTAAATGCTTAATAGAGAAATTCATGTGTCGGCCATCTTCACATCGCTTTCATCCCTGTTTTACCCATAAATATTTTTCAATTTTTCTTTGTTCATTGTTTTCTAAATATTTATGAATGTTTGCTTACTTCTTTCCCGGATTTTGAAGCAGTTTGGATTTTTCCTGTAGAATCGTTTTCTCTATCCTGTTTCTCATTTAGCAAAAAGCCACATCACTATACGGGTTTTGAACATAGCTCCCAATTTTTAGGATTTCGATTTGGTATGCGAAAATTGGAGTCACATTTTTAGATATGATTTCTTTTGTCTGGCTTTTCATCTTTAAATCCTGCTTTTTCATTCCTTAAACATTATCGTAAAATGTTGAAAAGCTGGCTTTGTAATGACTGTTTCAGTTAAAATTGCCGGTGATTATTGTTCTTTTAATATAGCTGAAATTTACTCCCATATATCAGAAATTTAAATGTACGAAAGTGCTAAAATATCTTTGAAATATGGGAGTAATAGCGTACTTTTTACGGTTTAATTTTGCAGAACCTATATGTGGTATTTTTAAGAAGAAATTGTTTGATTTGTTAAATTAATTGAATGATAGGCAAGAATTTCATTGTGATAGCTTACTGTCTGTTTCTTCATCCATCTGTTTAATATCAGTTTTCGAATTGGAGAAATGAAGATTTATAAGGGAATGTTTACAAAAAAGGAAATTTCCTTCTTCTCTTTCTTTCAATATTCGTTGATGATGCTTAATTAATTGGAAACATAAATCACGCATGTTATGTTTCATTCAGTATAAGATTTCTGCCGAAGAAAAACTGAAGGAAAAAAATATAAATTTTGGTAGGATAAATAAGTAGGAAGCTGCATTCATTGCTGTCATTTTTTCTTAATTTCTATCGCAAAATTGTTTAACTGTTCTGGCTTATTAAAGATGATTAGTTGTTTGTAGAAATGGTGTACTCAGAAAAGGTTAAAGTTCGTTACATCGAAAGCATTTGTTTGTGCTCTATTATCAAATGGGCAATAGAACACTGGGATACATTCTAGAATTTTTGTTTCAAAATATATGAGTTGTGATTGATTGATTGATTGATTGATTGATTGATTGATTAATTACATTATGCAAATTAAGTGGCAGCATTCCAGGTGTGAAAAAAGAAAGCCTTGTTTAATTTCTGACAATTTATTTAATTTAAAAAATACATGTTAAATGCGTACAGTACGATGAGGCAAATATGAAAATATACTTTTTTAGGGGTGTTCGGTTGTTAAGCGTGAAATAAATGAGCAGCAGTAATATACCTTTAGAGGGTCGTACACGTTTACCTGGTAAAATACAAGATTGCATCCAAGATTGCGGTCTGATTATTTCTCATGTAAAGACTGCATCTCATTCAAATGAGGCTTGTATTTTTTGTCATATTCATAAAAATGTCATAACATTTTTTCATCTATAAAATAGTTCAAATTTATCCAACTTAATAAGTGAAATGAAATAAGAGTTTTAACAGAGATATCTATAATTAACAAATCCATTTATTTCTCTCGAAATTTCATGAATACTTGTAGTTTTTAATTTTATACTCTATATTTTTGCTCCTTTAATTATGAACTCTTTGGTAAAAAATCGGAAGACAATTGACTGAATGATAGATAGATGAAATTTCTAGCTTCGTAGAGGAGTTTGTAACAATTGTTTTTCAGCTTCTTTCAATGGCTATCAAGAATTTTGCCTCGTTAGATTCAACAGTTGAGCAATCATCCAAGGTAAATAATAGAACTCGAATTTTGCACTTTCGAGCAATTTTAAGTTTCATATTTGCTATTTGATATGTTACTTTGCATATTGTTACGATAAGATTTTACTTTTTTTTCTTTGGTATTCATGAGTAAATAGAGATATCATTTTACACAAGCCAAGCATTTTTGTGAAGTGAATTTTATGTTAATCAAATAAGTAAGAGCTGACAGTTACGAAAAGTGTGGGACTTTAGAAATGAACGATTTCTTCGGATATACTTTTTAGAATTTGCGGAAATTGGATGCCTTATTGAATACAGCAGATGTTCCGTAAGTTCTTTTGTTTCGATTTTGACATCATTCATTACTTCGATATTTCTGTTTGAGAGACGAATTGATCTTTTGAACTCTCCCTTATATGCCAATAGATTGTTGTTTTGCGTATTTTTTAGTTTACAAAAGAAGAAAGGAATTCATAATGTCAACTATTTAAATTATTGGTCTTAATCTATCGGTTAGTTTTTTTTAAAAAAAAGAAACCTTATTTTACGCTTTCCATCATAATGATATCTATTTCAGGTATATGCCAGTAGATGATAGTAAATGAATTTATGGCAGTGCAAAATAATGAATTATTTGAATTAGTCGCCAATATTGATTTTTTTTTTCTATAAATCAGCTAAAAATCCTACACAAATGGATGAAATTACCTTTGAGCTATATTATTTTTGAACAATGAAGAAATGTGTTCCTTTCTTCGATTATACTCCATTATTGCAGTTAATTACGAGTTGTACAACAAACATTTTGATGATAAAAAAGATTTGATAACATTTTCAATGTATTTTATGTTTGATAATTCTTTTTTTTTTTTCGATATCGAAATAAATAAATTGGGACTGATTTTAGTTAAGCATCAAAAACTATCAAATTACTAAAGTAATGTTTGAAATTTTCATTTCTGTTGTTATCCCAGATTCGTAGCAGGACATTTCTCATTATACATCAAGTCTTGATGTTGGTAGTTAAAAGAGCACAAGCAATACAAGCAATTTTCTGAAGTTAATCTGATTCACATAAATAGCAAATGAAACAATTCGTCGACTAATGCATGTATGAAACATTAATTTAAAACGAATCGAATTTTCATATCCTGCATTCAATTGGCTATTTGTGACTTTTCATAGAAAATGATTAATGATTTTTTGCCAAAAATGACAGATCATAGTTTAACAAAAGATTAATTATTCGGACTAGTTGCTTCTTTCATTTTTAGTCTGAAAAAAGCTTATGTTGAAGTTTTAAGCTTAAAATTTAAAGGATTATCAATAGTAATTTCTGAATTGGATTGCATTGTAGTCTTTCATGAAAATTTCTTATAAAGTTAAGCGAATCAATGAAATTGATTTCTAAATTTTTTTGAGGATTCTGAATTACCTGTCCTTGTGAAACTTTCTAATTAGCTTTTTCTTTTTCTTAGATATATGATAATTTTCAAATCCGTTCCAATTATCAAAACTTTCAAGTTTTATTTGACTTTTACAATTTATTTAACATTATAACACAGATGTACAAATCAGTGCCTTTTTTCTAAATCATATAATATGTTCATTACTGCAAAAAAAGTAAAATAGCCGAGCAGTTTTTCTTCTTTGTGGTATTTATTTATCACTTATAATTAGTAGTTAATGTTATTCAATATATATTGATTTAGGTTTATGCATGAGTAATATTTTAGGAAATTTTGATTAATTAGGAGAAAAAAAAACTAGGTGAAATTGCTAGCTATTATTAAAACAATAGCAAAACAAATAACTGTTTATAGGTTGTCAGATTGAATTTGGCATAAGAGAAAATTAGTAAACTGTAAAAATTCCATTAAGAATTTAGAAGCCCAAAATGCATTTGCATATTTTACATATTTCATTACTGTCGTATGTGAAAGAAAAATAATATTACACAAAGAACGAACGTTAGATGCGAAATATATACATATCATCGATTTAAATTATTAAGAAATATGAAATTACATTAAAAATAATCCAATAACTTATTAAATACAGTATTATACATCCATAATTTAATCAAAATATGAGTAAACTAGAGGGCAATAGTATAAATATTTAAAGGATTTCATGAATATGAGCAAAATTCAAATGATATTTCTTACAAAGTAATAAAAAAAAAAAAAAAAGAAAGGAATGCGTTTTATCAATATGTACATATGCATAATAAATTAAACATTTAATATCACAGTCTAATTGTTAAGCCTTAATGAACTGATATAAACTTTTCTAATCAATTCCTGTGATATTATAATTACTTCGATAACTTAACTTATCATCCATATATAAGCAATTATCATTGTATGCTTTATAATTACCATCCCATTTGCAGATTTCATTGTACAATTGATTTGGAGTTGTTCGTTTTCGACGATCAATTTCCAATTGAGAATTTATCATCTTAGCAATATTTTCATCAACATCAAAGGATAATTCTGGTTTATCATATGCATCATAGTTATCACAAGCTACGAAGAGGAACATACGGCATAATTCTTGTTCATTAAATGGAATCTGTTAAAAATTTAATTTAGATGGAATAAATAAGTTTAGAAAATAAATGCTTTCATTATTAATACGACTACTTCAAACATTGTTTTTTCTTTCTCTCGGAAATGTATTTATTTTTTTTTATTTATAATTTCAAAATTTTTAAAATTCTTGAATAAAAAAAGAAAGAACCAAAAAAATAATACTAATTTAATTATTTATTAATGTATAAATCAATAATGATACTAAATGATACCTTTCCCATGATACATTGATACAGGACACATCCAAGACTCCATATGTCAACTTCATGACCATACTCATGTGTTCGTAAGATATTTGCACCTACTTCAGGTGCCATATAATACAATGTACCAGCAACATTTGATAATGATTTATCCTCTGCATCATTAAGAATTCGAGATATGCCAAAATCGGAAATTTTAGCTCTTTCAATTAGATTCTGCTCCCTATATTTGATTAAGATATTTTGTGGTTTAATGTCACGATGTACGATGCAACAGTTATAAAGTTCATTGTATCCTCGAATCACATTATCGATTAATCGTCTAAAATTAATAATATAAAATATGTTAAAGTTTAAAATTTTGGAATAAAACTAAATTTTTAACAAATTATTTGATTTAATTTATATAAAAAAAGAAAAATCATCAAAAATTTACAAATTTTGGAAGAAAAAAAAAGGAAAAATAGAATTAAATTTTACTTTAAATTATGTGAAGATAATGTACCATCAGCAGTATGATATTTAAGATGACAATCAAGATCAGTATCACATAATTCCATAATAATATACATGCTATCTTCATCGCTTTTTATACAGTTATCAGTGAAGCCAACCAGATAATCACTTTTTACTGCTCTCATTACTTTTAATTCATCCAGTTTTATGCTTCCTTTAGACAACTTTTTAATTGCTACCGGTTTACCAGTGCTACTTTCTATACCTCGATAAACGAAACCAAATGAACCATTTCCGATGCATGATGCAATACAGTCGCTGAAATTAAAATATCTTTTTAAATTTATAAGAAATCAAATGAATTCTAAAAAAAAAAAAAAAAAAAAAAAAAACTAACTCTTTTCTTGCACAAAAAAAAAAATCCCTACATTTAAGATAGATTCAATTTGTTCAAAAAAAAAGAAAGAGAAAAGAATTTACTTATATTGAAATGTATTACAGGTAGATGAAATAGTTATCGTATTAAGGGTAAACTGTTGAAGTAAATGATTATCGATATCAGAATTTTTTAATTGGATACTATACCAATTCATCGCCGTATTATACATTAATTTTTTTACATCATCCATCACAGATAGATTGTTTTCTATATTTGCTATCAAAAGTTCAATAATTTTTCACTGCAAACCAATGAATATATTAAACACATATTAATAAAAACTGAATTATAAATTTAATATTTCAAAAAAATCAAAAATTTATTAACAGTTAGTATGGAAATCATACGAACAGAGTAGTAAAAATCTTCGCTAAATTCTTTTTTTTTATTTAATTTCATTTAATCAGCAATTAATGATGATAGTTGAAAGATAATGGAAAAAAAAAATTATTTTGAAATCTTTAGAAGTTATTAATTCTTATAATTTTTAGTTTTAACTGTGAAATGGAAATTATTGATAGAGTGATGTTGATTTTTGAGAATTCTGGAAATCACATTGAAAAAAAGGAGATTAATATTAAATAAAAATTATTGAAATAGCATTTCTTTAAAATAATATTTGATGAATTAAGCAAACAACAAGATATAAACCAAAAAAATACCTTCTAGAAGAACTATCTTTATGATATTAACTCATTTTTAATCATTGTTAATATCACTAAATCATTTAATTATTTTAAATATTGAAATGTTATAAAATCGGTGAAGTGAAGTAATGCATGCATATCTCGTATATATTGCTTTCAGCTTTAATTTTCTTAAATTCTAAAACTTCAATTATTTTGTTAAAAAAATAAGCAAAAATAAGGCGTATAAATAATTATTTCTGTTTCTATCTTTTATTCAAAATTCTGAATATAAAATCTTTTATTCTAAATAAAAATGAAAAATAAATAAGAAAGAAAAAAGTATAAATATAATAAGAAAGAAAAAACAATTGTATTATTGACAATGATATCACAATCAGCAAAAATAATCAAAATTTATAAATGATAAAAACAGTTATATTCAAATGATTCAAAAAAAAAAGGAGCAAAAAGCACTCATGTAAGCAAAACTTTTAGAATGAAATTTAAATATATCATTTGATTAATGTGCAAAAAAGAAAAAATAAAAACGAAGTGTAGACAATGAGATTAATGATAAACAGATTAGCTCCAAAATGTATACAATTTACTAAAATTACTTTTTTCAAACCAAACAAAAAAAAAAGGAAAAGTTAAATAGTTCAGTTTAAAAAATTTAATACTTAAACAGCGAAAAATTGCAAATTTCATTGTAGACAAATGAGTTCGTTTTTTTTTTTTCTTTTTAAAATGTATTCCAGATGTTCGAAGAAATTTAACATTTTATGCATATTTTTTTCTTCGTTTTGCCTCTTTTTTTCCGCCTCAAAATTTCTAATGAGAATTTAGAAAAAATAACATTAATATTTTATTCATAACTGATGTCTTCATTAATAACACTTATAAAATATTCACTGAAATCCTGCATTAAACTTAATGCAAGTAAATTAAATTGTATTGGATACTTATTTACTTTTTTAAGTAAAAATATAAATGAATAAACAATTATTGTTTGAAAATTCTAATTGTCAAAAATTTTTTTATGAGCCATATGTGAAGCAGAAAAGATGATCCAAACGAAGCTTAAAGAGAAGAATGGAGAAAAAAAAATTGAAAAGTTAAAAGGAAGTGATGATTTAATGCAATAGATTGAATCGCCGCCTTGCATTTTCAACTTCATCATAAGGTCGAAATAATGATTTCGTCCTTTTCTTTTTTCAAAATTTATTTTTCTTCCTTTAAAAATTTTTACTTTGTCTTTCTTCTTTTCTTTTTTCTCCTTCTCCTACTTCGTTTTCCATTTTGTTCCATACCTTACCTATGCCATCTTTTTCTTTTATGCTACTTTTCAGTGGAAAAGTAACAATTTTCATTATATCATTGTATTATCTGATCTTTCTCTTTCTCATTTCAACTTCATCTAATTTTTTTATTTTTATCTTTTTATGCAAGTAAATATTACAAAATTTATAGAAGCATATTGCATGAAATTTTTGCATGAATTTGATTAGAATAGCTAATCAATGTGTTATTTACAATGGGAAAATCATGGAACAATAATGAATTAAACATAATTAACCAAAATAAGAAAACTGAATGATAAATAAAGTAAATAAAATTGTAACGTGGAGAAGAGTGAAGAGGGGACAATTTCACAGTAGAAGTTTTTTCAAAAAATAAATAAATAAAAAAGAAGATAAGTCATTAAAAGTTAATCGTCATGATCTATTACAGTTGTAAATTTGATATAATATATTGCACGCTGAATTTAACTAACTTATTGGTGTACTGTCATAAATTTAAATATGACCATTCGAAGTTATTTTATTAATTAAACTTAATATTTATTCTTTTTTTCGTTGTTTTTTTCTTTTTCGTGGAAAAATCAAACTAAAATAATTCAAAAATTTGACATATCTGTTACGCTTGTTAAGAATAGTAAACATTGTCATTGTCTACAGCTATATTTCATCCTTTTTTAAAAAAAAAAAAAAAACGAAGAAAAAAAAAAACAGTCTGTTAGCATAAAATGATGCAAAAAGTTTTATTTTAACATCAAATGTTAAATTTTTCGAAATTGAGAATTTTTGTTTTCAGATTTTACATAGTTGAAATGGCATAAATTGATTTAAGCTCTCGAATGAGTAATGCATGTTACTGATAAATGATAGGTAAATTAGAATGGAGTGCTGAAAGCCATACAAAAGAAGATGAAAATGACTTTAAAAAAAAAAGCGATTATAACCTTTTTAATTTATCATTTCAATCAAAATCGTTTATTAAAATCGAAAATTTGACCATCTTTTTTTTTTTTTTTTTTTTTTAATGCAATAGTATAGAACAGATCTACACATTCGTTAATTAACCAATTGTATTTATAATTGTTATCTAAAATACCGTTAATTTTCATAAAATATAATATATAATTTTTTAAATTTTCCTAGATTTAGCAAAAATGATTGTAGAAGATAAAATTTTAGGTAAGAATGGGAGTAATTAATGAAGAAATTGGCTGAAGCTTTCAAAAATAGGTACTTGAAAAGATATTTGAAGTGTATGAATAACACTTGGAGCTTGCATCATATGTATTTATTTACTTTTAAGCATACTTTAAAAATAAAAATGAAAGAAGGTAGGATGAAAGTGAAAATTGCGTGCTTAAAGAAATGACGATTAATTTGATTTTCAATATAAATCAATCCGCTAAAAAAGATAGCAATTAAATTCCTATGGTTTTTGATATAAACAAACTAGTTTATTTATTTATTTACCTTAGTTTTACTCTTTTTTAATTGTTAATGATAAATGAAATTTTAATAACTAATAAAAACTTTTATTTGCATGAGAAAAAGGTTACGAATTAACTGTTTGCTACAAATAAATTAAATATAACAATAAAAATTTCTGTGTAAATATAAAAAAAAAAATAATACTTCAATATTAGTATTTCAGTGATCATTAATTTTTTATAACCATTTTATCACTTAATTTTAGCAACTAATATAATTCATGATATCGTCTCTAATCTAAATATGCATCCCATAAAATTTACTCATGTAGCAAAAACTTATTCCACCTTCTGTTTGGAATAATATTTGCGATAGAATTTTTGAAATTTACCAAACATCGAAAAATTTTTGCTCATTTCTAGATATAACTTTCTTTTGATAAATAATCGATGATTTCGTTTATGCTTAACGCTATTCGTGATTTATTGATCGCGAAATTATGCTTTCAACAAGTTTCAACACTTTAAAACTTACAACTTTAGTATTACATGCAAAAATTTTTTTGATGAAACTCGAAAATACTTTTTTTTTTAAATTAGTAAAATCATAAAGAATTTTTCCACAGTTGAAGCAATTACTATGAAAAGAAGGTGGAAAGTTCGGATAAAAGTCAATGTCCCTAGACTGTCAACCTTTCGAATGTTCAATGTCCTACTTGAAAAAAAAAAAAAGGAAAATCTAAAAATAATCGAACCAGTAATTATTGCACGTGAATTTGAAAAAAAATACTGACAATAATAAAAAATTTTATAGTCGTAATCTTTTTTTCAAAACGAGCAAATTAGAGAGTATTTTAAATCTACTTAATCATCAATACGTCTTAACTATATAACGTAAATATCTATCATTTGTTCTGTCCGGAAAAAGTGTTTTTTTTCGCCGCAAAGAGAAATATTGTTTTCAGATTAGTTCAGTTCTTTTCATTTAAAATTGGGAAATATACACATTGGAAAGCTGAAATACGGACAAAGAAATATGCTTGGATAGATTTAAAAATCTGTTTCAAATTTCAAAGTTTATTTGAACTTATCAGTAATTTGAAAAGATAAATTAACTAAAATATCAATGTAATTATTTTGTGTTTTTATAAAATAATCTTAACCAGTAATAAAACTGATTGATCAATGTGTTAATGTAACTGAAATAAATTTAACTCAATTGCTTTATTTATGTTCGAATTAATTTCGATCAAACTAGTTCATTTGAACAGAACTAACATTATTATCCTCCAACTTGATTCGCTAGACTATTTTGTAAGGATAAATAATTTAGCAAAAAAAAAGCACGCATGTTTTATCAACCGTTGTTTTTTGCTTTTGAACAGTACTTTTCGAACAGATCACTGGAAAAGCCACTGAACAAATATGAATTGAAGTTTCCCTTAATTTTTTAATTTATTTCCAGCAAATTCTTTAATTTTTGGTTTGCAAACATAACAAATTTATCAATTAATTCTTTCAAAAACGTCCATTATAAGCAGAATGGAAGTTCTACAAATTAATATTAATGGGAAAGTTTAATTAGAAATAATGAAAAACTGTTTTGAGAAAGAAAGATAAAAGAGAAATATTTGCAAAATATTAAAAAAACAAAAAGAAAATGATTCCATTTTCTTGATAAATAAATGGATAATAGGATATATATATAATATATGGCTGCGTCTTCCACCAAAATATTCGAAGGACAAAGAATTCGAAAATATTTATTTCAACTTTCGTCATATAAACGAGAAAAAGACA